CATGTGGACCACTCTCAAATTTGTTCATTTCATGATGATATCTTCAATTCTCTAATTTTGATGAATACTTTTGTCATTTTTGGTAAAAAGTGATATTTTCTTCTTGTTAAAAACCACAATCATTTATGGTGAAAAATGATATTTTTGAATTCTTGTTGAAAACAGCAAGTCCCATTGCATTGATACAATGCATATTGTTCATTTTCTAATGATATCTTCTGTTCTTTAATTGAAATGTGAATTGCTAACAGTGGAGCTATCTCAGCCGAGAGGCTGCTTGTTTTTGTACTGTAATCTTAATCGCATATCAAACTACACTTCCCAATTTTACACCGACTGCTCGTTGTTTTTGTCTGAAGATTACTCCACTTGGTAAAACTAAGGAGATTGCTGCAAACCTATTGGTCCATAGTTTATGGCAAGAAGCTGAAGCAGTTCGTAAAGAGAAGAAGAGAAGTGCTGTCAGCGGGATACACAAGTAAGAGGGCAATAAACATTGGACCATAACACCTGACAAAACATGTGAGAAATACATGCCCTGTTTTGGGACTATCATCTTCACCAGCCCTGGTTGATTTATTCACCCATTGAATTCCCACAATAAAACCTTTATTCACTTTTTACAAATTAAACACAACTGCGCATGCTAAATAGAATAGAATAGAATTGAATAGAATAGAATAGAATATTGCTTTATTACAACGTTAAAGAAAATTTGACAATTCTTTTTTGGTTTCTACACATGTAGAAGGTAATAAAGTTAAAAAAAATGTTTTATAAATATTTGACTTTCCATAGAAAACATTCTTACCCTTATGAAATTCACTGTTACAGTAGTATTAATGAAGGTGTCTGTCAAAATGATGTAAAAAGTAAGATTAAAAAAAATTGCATCCACGAAAAACATCTCCAAACCAGAAACCTTATGCTTTTGTTTTATTTCTTGATGTGTATTCACTTCAGGTACCTGGAACTGGTGAGAGGCTGTCCTAAATACGCTTGCTTACTGGATAAGGATGGCATGGTAATCAGTTTTCCGCCAATCACAAACTGTGAACAGACCAAGGTAAGATGTACACATGTTCAAAAAGAGCCACCTAACTGTGGTAATTAGTAACAAGGTAAGATGGTATGCAACGCGTAAAAGGGATGTTATTTAGTTATTTGACGCGTATACATGTGTAACGTGTTTAAGGTCGCATATTTCAAAATAACATGTCCTGAACATGAACAATTACCAAAAAATAAGGGTTGATACTATGGCCGGACATCCCCTGCAAAAAAAAACCCGAAAATTTGAGAAAATTTAGTAGATCAAACTGCGACAGGGAATAGAATGGTAAATAAAAACATGCAAAAGAAATAAACGAACAATATGCAACATTAAAAGTAAAACGAAATAATGTATGTGACAAATAAGCCAGAAATAACGGTGAACAATCATTCAAATTTAGGATACGCATAAACTAAAATGTCAGGGGTTGAACAGCGTAAAATTATTTCCGGTTTTGACAAATATCGGATGAACAGTCATACACTAACATTAATAATTTACGAATTTACAAAGTGAAAATTATGAAAGGGATCCAGATCAACAGACTGCTCTCTTTCTTCCTGTCCATTTTGAAAACCACACTAGTAAAATGAACAAGGCATGCAGGAGTGAAACGAATTACAGTTAAAAGCTGACACAAAGAGACCTGACAACGTGGTTGAATGCGTCATCTGAGTTTTTTTTAACACAAAAATAGACATAGGCCCCAAAATAAGAAAATCTTATCCTACCAGCCACTACGTCTACTGTTACGAATGGTTTACAGCTTCTTCAGAAAACTCAGTTGAAAAAATGGAGACTGAATCACATTGTTTTTGCTACGACGCACATTCAGTGCGGAGAAAAACAGAAGTGATCATAAGGCAAGAGGCGTCGCTCGCCATGCTATGGTCACATAGAAGAAAGAAGCTCATGGGGCTTTCCCTGACCTAGATTTCTCTCCGTCATTGGCTGAATCGCAGATTAATTAATGCCTACTTCAAAATAGTCATTTTGACAGACCGGAGTCTATGGTGGGTATGAACAATGTGAATACCGGTAGGCGGGTTGAAAGTTTAAATTACAAAAAAATTTAATTGAAAATTTGACTGTACCATATCTTTATCTTGCTTTTCAGATTTCAAAATCCACTCGTAATTTACTGATTGAGGTGACGAGTTCTAAAAGTCAGGACACATGTAAAATCGTCCTTGATGCACTGCTGATGAAGATGTTGGAGTTGAAGATGAGCGTTGAGAGTGAAGACCTCTCACTTCAAGACATGCATATATCAGAAGGGGCTGAAGGTGGCGGTGATGGCGTCGGGCGTAAAGAGCTACTGGTACAACAAGTTAAAGTTCTCAACAGTACTGGCAACCTGAAAGTTGTATATCCCTCTCGAGTTGACCTCAGTTCTAGTTCAGTTACTGTTGTACACAGTGCTTAGATACTGTAAATGCATTAATTGTTTATTGGGTTTTAATTTCGCTATTTTTCGCTGATGCATAAAATCCATTAAATTAAATCTACATGAATTTGTAAATTGAAAATGAAACAAATTTGTGAAATTAAAACAAAGTGAACTTTTCTGGTTTTTAGGACCTCTCTGACTAATAAGGTTAAAGTATTAATCAGTTTACAGCTATGCATTAATCATCATCACCCTAATGATTCACAGTTTGCAGTCATTAGTAAATTTATACAGTTTCAAAATTTCAGTCGATGGATGCAATTTGAATCAGCAATTGCACTGTTTCGTGAACATTGCATAATGTTTCTTTGCAAAATAAATACATTGTTTACAGGAAATACACAAGTTTTCTCAATTCACCCTTTTTTCAGAATTACAAATCCAGGTTAACAAATCAGACTCGTGTCACTTTGTATATGTAATATTATTATACATCTGTCACCTTAACGCCATAAGTTACAGCATGTCGTAATTTTGTGGTATTGCACTGGGTATTTTCATCCTACCATATTACCTAGGAAACGTGAGTTCTAAATATGGAACAATTACACGCGTAAGCGTCCTCCAATAATAAAAAAACAAACATGACTGCCTTTAGGGTTTGACCAGACCCCACACAAAGAAGTTCGCTAAATCTGTTAAACTTTTCGGATTTCGGCATTCCCATGATGTATTCCTGGGAGGAAAAGATGTATAATAATAAGGTTATTATGAGGATACTGCAAAGTATGCACTCAGGCAGTACATGGTCGCACTTCCACTAAATGCATTTTCAAGTCTCTTTGTCAGACGCATGTTTTTTGAAAGACCTCTATATAAAGAACGCGTCAGTAAACAGAACAATTTTATCACTCTTAGGGTGTTTCCTTTAGACAGGTTTAACTGACTCATCTTTCCTCCTATGCACACGTGAATGAACATTGTTGTATTGGATGAAATGTACTGTAAATTCGTATAAGAAGCTGCGACTTTATTAAAATGATACAGTGCAACAGAAGAGATGCAATTTCTATTAGAACATCTACACATATGAGAAATTGTGATTTTTTTCATTCTCAATTATTTAAAAAGAATGGGTGCGGCTTCTAATACAGATTTTAAGGTACTACTTTTAGTAATTTTCAAATGTAATTTCTTTTCAATTTCAAGCCAATTGCCCCGTTTATGTACTTAATGTTTTTTTCTGGAACCACATTTTTATGATAAAAATGTGAAATTATAACTAATAAGGCCACTGGTTCTCATTATCTACATTTGTAACACTTTATAATATCTTCTAGAATCAGATATGTTAAAGCGGGAGGGTCGTCACCTGCGCACGCATGGGAATTGAGTCCCAAGCGACGGTAACAACACACACTAAAAACACAAAGGCTCATGGTAGACGCTTGTTTGTAAACAAAGACGCGTTATGGCCATCTGACGCATGTGCAGGTGACGACTCCCCTGCTTTAAAGCCCCCACAGTAGTGGTGCGTGTCATTGAATATTATGTGTTGTATTTGCTCTATAAATAATTCATACATTAATGTAGAATGTAGCGCTATGTCGATGGTCAAAATGTAATATTTTAATGATCCAGTGTAAAATTCTATTGGAGATGGGCTTCTAATAGAGCAAATATGCTTATGTGCAATTCATGCTCACATTCTCCCCCCTGACTCCAGTGCAAACATACTCCGTCAGGACCTGTACCTTGAAACTATGATTTGAATATTCTCATGAATATGTTAAATAAGCAAACAACCAATCAGCAAGCATCTGCTTAAAGTATTTTGATTGGTTCCTTCTAATGATAAAGAAGCCTGCTGATTGGCTTTTGCAAACTACTGAACGCTAATAAAATAAAAAAATTAAAATAAAACATTAAATTGCTTAATTTCTTGACTGATGCAGAAATCTTTTACAAAGAATCCAAATTGCATTCAGCCATGTATGATTGGGAATAGAAATTTCTTCAGTCTATTGCGTGTCTATTTATTACGTATTGGGACCTTCCATAAGAGTACAAACATGACGAATAGCTAAGCCACTTTAAAATTACCTTCTATTCTTCACCCTTCAGCATAAACTTCTACAATGTATGACACGCATAATGCAAAGTCCATACCTTCAATCACAATCTCAATGCAAAATAGTTTTGGTGTATTTGAAGACTGGATTTATTTTTATGTGATTATATAAATCGGTTGAGTGGAAAGCCAGGAAAACATTAAACATGTCGAGAATCACTGAACCCAAGGTAAAGGCTGTATTATAAGTGTACCATACTAATTCAGTGAAAATTGATTAAATAAAATAAAAACATCAAACAGAATTAAACAGGAACATGGCAGACCCCGATTTGTCAACGTCGTCTAAACTCTTTCTAAGCATATTTTGGATTGGTTTCTCAAATTGCAGAACAAAAATTTGTGCTCAAAATGTAATCTTTATATTTAGCTTTGTGCAAAAGACAGTATATCGATCATTTTCCGTTCACTCCGAGATCCCGCGTTATGCGTGAAATCGAACATAGCGTCGCAGTAGCGATGGTTTGATGATAGTCAATTTTTACAAAGTAAGAGCATTCTAAGGTCATAGATCACCATTTGGAAATTGCACGATTAAAAAGTTTCAAGTCCTATTACAAGCATTCGATTTTCCCGACAAACGTTCTGTCACGCAGTACATGAGATTTCGGAGTTGAACGGGTAATCACATATATGCTGATTATTAAAGCGTGGTGGTCGTCGCGCAGCGCGTGTTCGAATTTAATGTAAATAAACAATGTATTTTACACGCGTTGTAAACGTCGCTATGAGTCCCATATCGAACAGAACGCGGCACGACGACTTCCGCCCTTTAAACTGCCCTTTCGTCAGGTTCAACACTTGCAGAATTACTCATAATACTTTTTTCTGGTTCATTCATAGTTTCTCTCAGAAAATCGATGCGGTGAAGTGATTTTATTTTCATTTGTTTTTAACATAAAAAAGTGGATCTGCGCATGCGTGAACAGGATATTGCGTCACCAACGGCAGGCACATTCCAATTTGTTAGCCTATCCAATATTTCATTGACTACGAGAATATATCAATATTTTTCAATCGACAGTTCGTCTATTTCCTTCACCATGTTAGCAAATATATGTGGATAAATCATGTGGGTGCAGTGATTATAATACTTTGGCAGTTTTCCCTTGCATAACAGTTTTGTGAAATGTGCCAACCATTATCGACGTGATAGGCTGACCCACAGCCTCCTGGAGTCAGGTGAAAACGGTGACGCTTGTAGCTAAGACAGAAAATGTTGTCAATTGCATAATAGCACAATGTATGATTGAGTTACGCAATTATATTATTGTAATTGACTGCCAGTATATGAGAGTTGTGAACGTGCTTTTATTAGTGTATTGGCGTGATCCATTTAGTCCATTGGCACCGGGGATTATCAGTTCCCAGGGACTTTAAACAATTGTGAGTCAGTCGTGTCAATCTGTAAATCCTGATTGCATTTCACACGTCGGGAGGGGGGGGTGTCGTCGCGGGGAATTTCTGTACGGTGTTGGTGATATGTGCGGCGGTGCCGAATCGCATGCATAATGATTTCAAAGTGGCTGTTGACTCTGTCAGTTCGCTTATATAAGTGGTTCATCGTATTGATCAGATCCCGTTACGTCAGCAGACGTTCCATTTCGACACTAACGTGTAAACATATATAACAAAATGTATAAATAACTCAAGTCGTGGGCCAGAGTTCCAGATTTAACATTCCGACGTGTACTATACTACTATTAGTACGTGGTGAAATGTCATTACGTAACTCGGTATAGGAAAATTAACAATAAGGCGTCCAAGCGAATGTACCAGTTTTGACCGTCCTGTCTTTTTCTTTTTTTTTTTTGGCAAATTTTAGTTGTCCTGGTTTCATGGCTCACGGTTTTACGAACATATTGGTCTGCCTCATATAGGGGGGGGGGGGTCTCTGAAAAAGATATGGTACGCAAGCTGAAGTAAAAAGTAAAAAAAAAAAAAAACGCGTGAAAGGAGTATTATTTGACGCGTGTGCCGTGTTTAGGGTCGAATATTTTAAAATGTATAAATAAGTGTGAAAAGACAATCTCATGAATTCATATTACCTCAACTTGGAAACAGTATGATTTCAGTATGTATATAGGGTATCTATTTTAAATTTCTGTACTTGAAAAGCGGTATAATTTCACAAAAATAAGTACGTGTTTAGAGGCTTTTTTGAAAAGCTATACTTCAGCATGGGTACAAGGCCTGACTTGGAGTAACACCCCTGCTGGGGTCTGGCTGATATTTGACAGCGAGAATCCATTGTGTACTTTTTTACTGGAAATTCTTAATTTACATCAGTAAAAATCTTGTAAAATATATATGTTGTCTGGACGAGTTGAAATTCGGAGCAACAGATGATTTAGTGTACCGAAGTGCACGGTTACTAACTTTTTTAGTAACCGTGTGAAGTGTGAGCGCCGCTGAATCACTATTACTATCACCATGTGTATTCGCTGTGTATTCATCCCACATAGAACCCCTAACAATTCGAATCAAACCCAACACGCCCATAACACGCATGGTTCGGTGTTCCGTTAATAAAAATATTGAACTCAGAATAAGGCTAAGAGAATTATTAGAAATTGTGATCTATAATGAACAGGGAAACTATTCCTTGTTTTTTCGACGCGGGGACGTATTCCACGAAACCGTCCATAGTACGTTCACACCTCCGTTCACAGTACCATCACAACTATACAACGTGAGAACAGGTGGAGAAAAAGTAATGGTTTTAAGATATGTGGTAATCACAGTTGAAACAATATTTGTTAATTTGCATACGAATGAAGAAAAGACTTGATTAGTTCAGAAACGGATAGCAAGTGTCAGATCACCGGACTGACTCTGAACTGCGGGTTGCTCATTTCATCCGCTGGTCATTAAAGTCGTCCGTGTTCATTTCACGAATTGTTGAAATTGCTGGTCACTATTCCAGTAGGTAAGATCACTTACTATTTTACCCTGTGATGTAATTCGAAACTTCGTCGATATTATTTTACATGTGTCTGTTAGAACGTATTTCAAATGATTGCAACTACTCTCGAGATCAAAAATATCAGTAACTTCATTAACCAGTTTCAACGTTTCGGATTATACATTTATGTGTGCCATAATTGAGAAAATTCCGAATGAAAAAACAAATTTGAAACCAAATTGAGCCAACTTTTCGCCAAATAGTTTTCAAATAGTTTTCAACAATTACATAGTGTTGTGTTAAATTCCAAAAATAGGATGTACCTGCTACAATGACAGTACATATATATGTATTATCAGAGGTACATTACTTGGGGCATGGATGTACATCCATGCTTGGGGTTTGTAACTACGGTGACATGATACCAAGATCCCGTCACAATCTCGCTCTCGCATAAGCGTTCCAACTCAGAAAAATGCGAATGCGCATGCCCGAGGTAACTAGGATACTGGGATGTCCAGGTGGATCAAAATAGCTGCCCACGATATGACGGATTACAAGAACTATATTTTCTGTACATTTTCGATGTATTACATTTTTCACTATGATAGTGACAAGAAAAGTTTTATTTTTTCATTACAAACCTTGAACATTGATATGTGTCATGTCAGAAGGTCGTAGCCTCAGTCTCGCTATCTACGAGAAGAGACTTGAATGGGATCTTGACATGATGTCACCATACAGTACTAATCTACTATGCGAGTTGCAAACCACAAGTAATGTACCTCTGGTATTATACTGTTGATAAAGCTCACAAAAGTCTCTCAAATTTGTTTCGTACGAGTAACGTTTTATCCAATTGTGCGTAATATATACGCAGCAATAAGGCGGATGGTCGCATGTGAAGTGTCGTACCTGAATTCAATAATGTTATTTGTATATAAATGACTGAAATTGAGCGATTCCGGAATGATCGCAGATCGGTCGACAATTTGTTGACTATTATGCCCCATCTAAACCACATTGTCCGTGCATATTTGTTTTTTGACCGAAAATCCACAATATAAGCGTCCATCCACTACAGGGACGCGATTAATTCGATGATTGAACATAACTTCCATTGTACAGAAACGTTGACGCCGTCATAAACTCCTTTTTATTTCCCTTTCCCGCGATATATTCTCTATTGTCTCTGAGTTCTCGCATCCTACTTGCGAGAAAACTACCTTCTGACACATCTGTGTTTATTTCAATTGCCTTTTGTTTTATAGAAATCTCAGTCGTCACTTCTGCATTACATGAAAGTGTAATTAACACCGCATTTCCCCCGCTTTAGATTTCAATTTGAATACGTTGTTTTGGTCTGAACTGACTGTTTTGCTTGACGTGCGCGTAAAATCAAATCTTTTCCTATATTTTAGAAACATTTTTATAAATACAAGTTCACCTTTTCTCCGAGATTGCCGTAGTTCAGTGTTTACTATCCCTTTTCTCATGTATTCTACAATTATGTTGTATATTTTCATAGACCCTCCAGTGGAGGGTCTATGATATTTTGCACCAGATGGAATAACTTCTTATTGGTTAGAGAAAGTTCACAAATCAAAGTGCGCTTACCCGCTGAAACACCGCATAGTTTAGGTGCAGTCAACGGAGCTGTTCGTGAAAAAATGTGTTCGCAAGAGATTTTTAGCGGGCAGGCAAAATAAAACATCTTCAGTGGGAGGGAATTAAAAATAGGGTTTCTCAGAGGGGAATTCCAGTAGGAGAAGATTTTTATTCAGAGGGCAGTTCCATTTTTAGATTGAGCGGGTAAGGGCAAAATCACTGATTGTACATTGTATTTTTCAGAAGCGCAAAATTTGAACTTGGGTACAACTCTTTTAATAAAGAGTGTTGCCGGTGAAATGGGTCATTGGGAACAAAAACTGAGTGGGGAGAGGGCAGTGGGAGCAAAACCGAGTGGAGAGAAGGCAGCGGGGAACAAAAACTGAGTGGGGAAATGGCAGTGGGAGCAAAGCCGATTGGAGAGAAGGCAGTGGGGAACAAAAACTGAGTGGGGAGAGGGCAGTGGGAGCAAAACTGAGTGGGAGGGCAATTTAATTTGGTTGAGAGGGAGGGGAGTTGCGAACAGATTGACCTCTCCCCTCCAAATTAAATTAAGCCTTAATAATGTTCATAAATTAAGTTACTGTTGATCAAACATAAATACCAAACATTTTTGAAAATTTACTTGTTGACTGCACCTGATAGTTCTGCACGTTGTCATAAAGCTGGCACCACGTGTGAAACCATTATGCTTGCGTGTTACACATTTATGCACGTATAATTGTATAACAGAGTAAAACAATTGTTTTTCGTGCTATAGTCTTCTTTCTGACTGTTATTGGGCGCATTATTATACAAATATTTGTAGACATTGTATAGGTTATGCATGTACATTTCTCAATGGGTCAATGGCAACAAGAAACGAAACACTGTTTTGTTTGTGTTTATCGTATCAAATGCACGACACAGTTAAACAAAGTAAATAAAGAGTTTTCTTTTGCATATAAAAGCCCACAACATCTAATATAATATTTATATATTTTACAATTCATTTTTGATAGGTTCCGGTGTGACGTCAGCCGAGCAAGATGCGGCTACCTATGTTTATAACGTTTGTCCTATTTCTGAACAAAGTACACGGTTTGACGGACTTTGAACTTCATCAGTTCCGATCAAATGCAACTGTAGAATTCAACACCAACGAGACTGGCAACATCACCATAGCAACAGAAACTGTCGGCTCTCAAAATTATTACGTCATCGTTAGCAACGGAATCCCCGACCACCAAATTGGGGTTTTCCCACAGCAGCCAAACTTTCCTTACGCTCTTCAACCCCAGACATACGAAATGCGAATTCCACAATATCCACAGGTCGCTGTTTTACCTGGCTGTCTCCCAGATGGTCCCGTTGCTATGGCAATTAATGGCGTGCCCATGTACAGTCCATTTGATAGCACTGGGCGAGAGGCAGTAACTGGGCAGTGGCGACAAGAGGTCGACTTGTGTAAGGGCCGTGTCGATTTCCAGGGAAGGTATTTTTATCGTACCTACCCAGAATGCATCCCTGGGCTAAATGAGAGTGAAATAATTGGTAAGTAGTAAAAGTGATCAGATAATTAACATAAAATTGGTGCAATATTTGCGATAGAGGGCAGTGTTTATAATCAATATGATGCTTCCCTGGATGTTTCAGTCACAGTCACTTGGGGGCTGAAAATCAATAAATACTAATTTTCAAAAAAAATCATCCGCTATACGTATATAAATAAACAAGTTGTGAAACACGGCACCTAGTAAATCGACACCCTGTGGGTTCCAAACGCCAGAACTCTGTGCGAATCCCCCTTGATTCTGGCTGCTGGCCATTTTCGTTCATGAAATCGTCGGATATCATCAGAAAACGCGGGATTTGTGCAGTTTTGAATAAAACCAAGTTAGCGATTATGAACAATGGTTATTAACGTAACACCTGACCCCCTCTAAAAAAATTTTTTCGCATTTTAAGGTAAGAAGAAATCGACATT